AGCTCGAGCTGTTGCTAGAGCTTGAGTCGCGGCTCGACCTGCAGCTTGAGCTAGAGCTGCAGCTCGAGCTAAAGCTTTAGCTAGAGCTGCAGCTCGAGCTGCAGCATTAGCTGTAGCTTTTGCTTTAGCTTTAGCTTCAGCTTTAGCTTCAGCTTTAGCTTCAGCTTTAGCTTCAGCTTTAGCTTCAGCTTTAGCTTCAGCTTTAGCTTCAGCTTTAGCTTCAGCTTTAGCTACTTTAGCTGCAGCTACTTTAGCTGCAGCTTGAGCTGTGGCTTCGGCTTCAGCTGGAGCTGTAGCTTCGGCTTCAGCTGGATCTGTAGCTTCGGCTTCAGCTTGAGCTGTAGCTTCGGCTTCAGCTTGAGCTGTGACTTCCGCTTCAGCTTCCTGAAGTTGGAAAATAATCATTAAAGAGAAAAGAAATAGCAAAAACTGTATTACAGTCAGAACCATCAAAGGAGGTGACTCCCTTCAGCCCACCTCCCCTCCTTTTTGATGGTCCTGATCTTGCAGTCCGCTACAGGACGGACTGTAAGACAGGAACCTCAAAGAAATAATTCAATGCAAAAAAAAACTTGGAAGAGAGGGGCTTCAGTTTACTGACTACATACCTTCACAAAATAGTTCTCGCTGAGTTCTTGCTGGGCTCCATCCAGTTCTTCCTCTCTCTTTCTCTTTAATTCCCTTGCTCGCTCAAATGGGGTTCCCATTGCTGTCACATTCAAAACAAAAGAGTTAGCACACAAAAATTAAGGGAGCAAAGTTGCAACCCCAGGTGGGCTGGCATAGTGCGCCAAAATGCCTTAGCCCATGCCAAGGTTCAACTTGCTGTAACAACAATTGCAAAATCCCCACTTCCCCAGAGCTAGTTGAATTCACCATACCTCCAAAGCTACTTGAATTCACGGCAGTGACACCCTCTATTCCCACTCTTTGAATCATTTTACTTTCAAGGTTCTGCAGGTTAAGAAAATGTTAAACACTAGCAGTTCTATAACTAGAAATTTCAAAAGTATAAATGCAACATAACATCTATATATACCTCCTCCAAAGTTGCCCACATAATTAAAATTGTTAAAACACAAATTCCACGGTATATACTAATTACAACATCATCAAAAGATAAAGCAGCAAGATTGCTATACATTTGCAAAGTTTTTCAGAATCATTTGAAACATATGAAATTAAATGTTTGGGGCATTTATTTGTAATTGCTATTATTTCATGGATCCATCAACTCTTACTTTTGATAGAAAGTGCATAAAGTAAAGATTATCAATCATACCTTTGTACTTGCCCTGTACTTTTCACTAAAGGCTTTGAACTTTTCAATAATTCCGGGTGCCCCACAAAAGGTCTTGTAGGCTTTTGGGTTCCACCTGAAATTACAATTAAAACAGAATAGATGAGGATTTTTTAGGAATATAATTCAAGTAAACATCAATCATTCAGAACAATACAGATTCAATCATTAATATGAAACCATTTTTTCCCCAAGAAATAAATTCATCCATTATTACAACACAAAAAAAAAAAAAAAAAAATCCTAAAAACAGTTATTTATTTCTTAAAAGTACTATGGATAAAATACGATAAATTTTATTAATTATTAATTAAAAT